GGATTGACTGAGAGACTCTGCCTCAAAGACTGAGGAGAAAGAGCCAGTGAGGAAGATTCTCAACATCAGCCTGGGGTCTCTACATAATGCACCCCCACATATGTGAGCCCCACACATGAAAACATACACACTCACATGCACACATACCACACATAGATGAAAAAAAACAGATCCTTCAAAAGGGTTTTTAAAGATCTATTTTTATTTTATGTAAATACATGTTCGCCTGTGTGAGTTTATGTGTGTGCAGGAGCCCTTGAAGGCCAGAAGAAGAAGGTGTGTGTGTGTGTATGTGTGTGTGTATATATATATACATATATATATTTGTACACATGAGTGCCCAAAGAGGTCAGAAGAGGTCAGATGCCCTAATGCTAGAACTATGGGCAGTTATGAGCCACCCACCCAACTCAGATTTTGGGAATCAAATTTGGTCCACAGCAAGAACAGAACATACTCTTAACCACTGAGCCATTGCTCTAGGCCTGCTTTCTTTCAACTATTTAAAGTTTTGGTATTATCATAATTAGTAATTTTTAAAAAGATTTATTTATTTTATGTATATGAGTACACTGTAGCTGTCTTCAGACACTCCAGAAGGGAGCATTAGATCCCATTACAGATGATTGTGAACCAACATGTGGTTTCTGTGAATTGAACTCAAGACTTCTGGAAGAACAGTCAGTGCTTTTTTTTTTTTTTTGCTTTTTCGAGACAGGGTAAGTCAGTGCTGAGCCATCTCCAGCCCCCTAATGATTGTTTTGAAGTTCAAGTCCCATTAGTGTGTTGCTGAAATGTGAAGATATAGTTGGGTTTTGTGTATGAATTTTATATTCTGCCATCTTACCAAGACTTCTCATGCTAGCTGCTTTCAGTGGCTTCCATTGGCTATTTCAACCTAGATAAGAAGGTCCTCTACAAATGCAGAGACTCTTTGTTTCTAATCTAGATGACTTTAATTTATTCTTGAGTAGAATTGAGGTTAAGTTTACTGGAAGCACAAGGACCTTAATTGTAGTGCCAACTCTGCCATGACTTACTGTGCAACCTTTGACAACTCACTTTCCCTCTCTGAAACCCAACTGCTATCTGAACTGATCTGCATGGTATCGGTGATCGGTTCTAAGGTTGAGTAAGACAAAGAGCACACTCTGAGTGGTATCGGGGCTCTCGTGACTCATGGCCTTAGGCCTCTGGGCTCTGCCTCTTCCTCTTCCCGTTAAGTGTTGACTCATGGCCATCAGGAGAGTTGAGGTGTCACCTCTGCTCTCCTGGCCTTCCAGTGAAACAGGGAGTGGTTGTATTCACCGTGCTTGTGCCTTTTGCTGTGCCACCTGGCCTGCCATGAACAAGACCTTGGCTCTGCAGAACAAAATGGATTTTACAGCAAAGGTCAAGCTACTCAACAAACAAAAAATTCATTGAGTAATTTTTTTATATCTTGATAGTCTATACAAATACTGGCACCTCTCTTACTTTTGGATTCAGGGGTTGTTGGCAGTAATGTACTAAAGTATCCTAAGATGGGAGGAATGGGGAAGATTCCTGAGATAAAAACAGTCTGATCCTCAAAGTTGCTACAAGGATCCAGCAAGGAAGCAAAAGTCTTGTCTGTCTACACAGAGGATACACACAAGTTAGAACGAATTATGCCAGAAAGGCCTGACTCTTTAAAAATAGAGGATTTGGGCTGCCCCAAAGTCACAGTGGAAATGAGAGGACAGAACAGGTCCTTCCTATTGTTGGAATCACACGTCCCTTGTCCTCACTCCTAGGTTTGGGATACCATGACTTCTGAAGGAGAACCCACCTCTCACCAGAAGGAAAACAGTCCATGCTTCCAGACATCCAGAGCATGGTCCATCAGTTTGGCCTGCCTGACCACATACACTCATTTCAGATGCTAAACCAGACAGATTCCTTTAGGCCAAGGAAGGCAGTGATGGCAGCAGACACTTCTGATGCCCAGAGACATGATAGAATCCAGTGTCTGGAAACAAATCCAGAATCACCCATGCTATTATTTTCACTTTAAGAAAGCAATGTAGAAATAGTTCAAACCAAGATAAACCTACCAGGTGAAGATGGGGAGAGGAGGTTATGTTTCCAGAGCTTGCCCCCATCAGCTGTGTCTTAGCAGAGACTCAAGAGTGGGCAGAGGTTTAAGAAGATTTGGTTTGTTTATTTGTTTGTTTTTGTTTTTTCGAGACAGGGTTTCTCTGTGTAGCCCTGGCTGTCCTGGAACTCATTCTGTAGACCAGGCTGGCCTCGAACTCAGAAATCTACCTGTCTCTGCCTCCCAAGTGCTGGGATTAAAGGCGTGTGCCACCACTGCCCCGTAAGTGTAACAAGTTTTGTTGTAGAAAGAAATGGATGTCGCCAGATGTGCTCTGGCTTGAGGTGGTTGGCCTGAGGAACCTGTAGGAGAGCTAACCCTAAGCAGGGCATCCTGTGTGATTGATTAGGAATTATATATTGGGTTTCTTTGCTGGTTATTAATAAGTTGATCATTTGGAGCCAATTGCTTACAAGGGTTATTGCTCTGTGAGTTTATTGATGAGGAGGATGGTCTGTCCAATCAGCTGTAAATCTGACTTAGAGTTAACAGTAGGTTAGTTTCTCAGGTTAGAGATTATAGATACCGAGCTGGTTTCCTGGGATGACTATTGCAGATTGTGGGTCAGGGTTTTGTTCTTAGGTATGATCTGGCCTCCGTTTGCATATCAATTTCTCATCATCAATTAAAGAAGAGAAAAGATGAGTTTCATCTCCAGTATAACAGCTCGTGGTAGCCAGAGTTGATAGGTCATTCTAAGTTGAGTATACTTCTCCTGTAATCTACTACAGAAAACTCCATGTCAGCCCTGATTGTTGAGAAGGCTTAGAAATATGAGAGACTGACATTCAACACAGATGTTGTAGAGATAAGTTTCACCAGGAAACCCATGCTTAGTTCCCCACCTTGGTGGAAAGGCTCGGCACTTTCTGAGTGTTGAAAACCACCACTTGGTCAAGTGCTGTTTAAGCCTGGGCGTTCCATCGGTCTACCAAAGTGAGTTGGTTCTCCACCACCTCCTGCCACCATATTTTACCTTATCACCAGTGACCATGTGACCTTGGGCTGTAGGAATCGGGCTGCCTGTATCAAGCTTTGGTTCTGCTGCTGCCTGTGAGCATGTCTGGACACATCTTCACCTGTACAAGGTGATGAGGATGCCTTCCTCACAGGCCTACTCTCAGACGTAAATAGCATAACATAAGTTAAGTTCCCAATACAGTGTCTCCCCTGTGATAGGTACTTAACCATGACAATCATTTTAGTTACAGAAGGCACCTCCCACTAATTTGGTTTGATTATCTATTGCTGAAGTTCTCATTTGTACCAGGTAAGACACGCACAGCCATACAAAGAACCTGGTGAAGAAGATGGGTGGGCCCTGCAGAGGTAATAAGAACACAGTCATGATTCAAACTCAACTGACAAAGAGGAAGATCAGGAAAGAAATTGGAGGGAGAGAGAATGGATATCTAAAAATTGTTTCCTATGGTTGTGAGAATGAGGATAATTTTAGTTTTCTTTTTTGTATTTATCTCTATTTTTCCAATTTTTCTCTGTTGAGTAGCTGTTACTTATACATAAACTGAGGGAAAAAATTTAATTCTTAAAAATATATCAAAGTAAAAAAAAAACTGAGGCAATAAAAAGAGACAATGGTAGAATCCAAGGAGCTAAGCTGGCTTGGGAAATTGAACATTACAAAGCTGGGGGGGGGGAGGCGAGGGAGGGTAGCGTTCTGAATGAGGAGAAAGGAAGAAGAGAGGAAGAAGAGACTAGGCCAGGTCAGAAACTGGCTCCTGAGAATCCAGGACTGCTCCATCTGAAGAGCCCAGAAAGAAAGCATTTTGATTAAGCAAAAGTCACAAAGACAAAGACTTGATCCAGCAGCAAAGTAGACGGCATGAGAAAATCCAAATGGATGGGGCTTCAGGAGACAGCTCATCCCCTCCCCTGGGAAGACTCTGGAGCAATACTGCACCCCCATATTCTAAACCCTATCATATGTACCCATATTCAGGGTACCTGGTAACGAACCATAGCTGTGAGAAGACACTTGTGCTCAGAGCCTGTGAGTTGAGAGCAGAAAGGCTGAAGCCCTTCACTCTGTCGCTCGTTAAGGACTGGAGATGGCAGCGAGTTAAGACATGGGGCTGGGTGGGGATGGATCATAGAGAAAGACGCTCAGGTTCTCACCATCTTCCTTCCCAGGCAGCCAAGGATCCTGCCTGATCCTGAGATCCAAGCTCAACCTCTGCAGTGTTCTTCTCTGGGAGTATCTTCAAACTTCAGGCTGATATTACACAAAGACAACTTTATTTATAGAAATACATATGAGTCAAAGAGCCCATAGCTGGATTCATACACATGTGATTCTGAAAAGTTGAGTTGGAATAGTCAATAGTTATAAGACACCTATAATTTCCTATCTGACACCTTCTTCCAAAAATAATTTTCTCTCTGATGTTTTCTTCCAAAATTCACATCAAGGAACCATTGGCTCACTGTCTTACTGGGCTTCAGTAGTAAGTACATCCTCAGTTAAACACCAATTCCTGTAGTTACTCTTCTAGAATCTAACAGGATTGTTTATTATATGAAAATACATCACCTGCTCTTGACAGGTTATAAATATAATCTTCTAAGTCTTGTGTTCAAGTATAAAAATAAATAGAAGTTCAATAGAAAATAAATACACATATTAGTGAATAAATATAGAAAGCATTAGAAAAGGCATTACAGAAAATTTTACAAAGTTATAGTGTAAGGGAATACAGAGACACATGAAGACATCCACATAAGGGAACCAAAAATACATAAATAATATACACTGACCCAGCACTAAATTATATCACAAGGGGGTGGTGGTTTGAGACCATGTCTTCGTGGTACTGAGGTCTGGGACTCTGGACAGGAGTGTTCTCAGCAGCCTTGATATTTTCATCTATATTATCTCCTCCATCCATCTCAGAAGAATGCCTAGTTCCCCCAAAGCCTTTACTGCCGCTGCCTGAAGCTCAAGCTGAAGGAAGAGCAGACACATCTTGTCAGAGATGCAAAAGAGACACTTGTCAGGAATAATCCTCCCTCCTGTTGGTAGGTCAGCTGAGATCTCTCTCTCTCTCTCTCTCTCTCTCTCTCTCTCTCTCTCTCTCTCCCTCTCTCTCTCTGTGTGTGTGTGTGTCTATGTGTGTTCCCTACTGTGCATACTTTTTTTTTTTCTGTGCATACTTTGATCTCATAAATATTGACCAAATCAAGCACTGGGCCAGTTCAGAAGTCAATAGCACAATCCTTGCTTATAAGGAATTCTCAGTTGAGGAATGGAGACAGGCAGGAACAGTAACTGAAGTGAAGGATGATGACCAAATGATGGGAGTTTCCACAGTATGGCAAGAGGTAGCCAACTCTGGGAGAAGCATCCACTACCTTCCGGAAGGTGATGGCCTAGGCTGAATCAGGGAGGAGGAGGGGGGAGGAGGGAGGGGAGGAGGTCAGTGAGCATTTTCTTGGGAGGCATGCAGGAGTATCATTGTGAGAAACAACCTGGATGGATTTGTGTGATGTTGTGTTTTGAACATATGTGTGTATGTGTGTAATGGAAAACAACCAATTCTCATTTATCCCCCTTTAGAAGATTCAGGTGTCTCTGGAACGGTTGGAGGCATCATAGACTTTCTTTCTTCATTGGTGGGGAATCATGTAGAGAATGTATTCTTCTAGGACCTGGGATAATCCCTAGGGCTATAGTGAACTATTAACCTGTTTTTTTTTTTTTTTTTTTTTTACCAACATGAATATCCCTCCCACATCTATAATCTCAGTTCCAAAACCACACCTCCCACGATCCATACAAACATAGTATGTATATACCTCTGTGAAGTGACTTAGAATTAGGTTGTATTTCTCCATTGCTTCTTCCCCACAATGGCATGCCATTCGAGAATGCTGAAAAAAGACCCAAAGAATGGTAAGTTTTATTTTTATCTTTTAGTGTATATGATGTTTTGCCTGCATGTAAGTCTGTGCACCATGTTCACACAGTGCCAGGGGAGCCCAGGAGAGGGTCCTGGGTCCCTGGGACTAGAATTAACAAAGAGTTGTGAGATACCTTGTGGGTACTGGGAATCAAACCTGGGTCCTCTGCAAGGGCAGCAGCCCGTGTTCTTAACTGTTAAGCCATCTCTCTCCACTTCTAATTTTATTTTAAAATTTTGTCTTTCTGCTCTTGATATTGGGATAAGCAGAGAATTCTGATTCTCTAACCCTATGAATAGTCATGTCTGTAGAAAGTCTTTTCCTGCTTCATCATTTAGGTTCATTTAACTAACCATCAGGCTAATAAGCCAGCTTTTCAGTTTTAAATATGGAGCTCACAGAGTGTTTTTAAAGACAGTGCTGAAGGTTTCTCCAGTTCCTGTGCCCCACTGGCTTCCTACTCTAGCTCCTGGCTAGGAGACTCTAGAGCAAATCCAGGTCCTTACAGAAAGAATGGAATTCTATAGTCCTGTTCATAACCTAAAATCAATCTTGATAGCCCACTGACCTACCTCTTGAGCACAAGATGTCCTAGTAAGGATGTAGAGTGCATTACCTATAGAAAACAAAAATCTAGTTTCACAGATACTAGCTAATAATCATGAATACCAAACAGCCAGCATTTCATATTTCTTCAAACTTTTTAGGATGCTTTTTTGAATGGAACATATATTTAATTATTCAATATTTCTAAAAGAGTTACAGGTTTAACATGTTTATTTTTGGTTTTGCTTTTTTTTTTTAAGTAATTTTGGACTCAATTTCTCTACCCATTCAATAGGATAGCAAAATGAGCCTGCTTGCTAAGTCCTTCAAACTGTATAACTAATACCTTTACTCACACAGACTAAAAGGTCCTTCTTGATGATAAGAAAGGAGTTGGCGAGGCTGCTGATCTTTCTCAAGGTATGGTGGTCAGGGGTCTGGTAGACTTTGAATACCCTGTCCAGATAGAATCTCACCAGATGGCAGAGGAAGCAACACCTATCCGAAGGCTGAGAGGAAGACAAGTATATCAACAGGGAGAGCAGGGACAAGACCAGGCTGATGGATTCACCTGGATTCACCCTCCATGAACTCCCCCAGATCAAATCCAGACCTTTATGTCTTTCAAAGACTCAGTCGTCCTTAAAATTCTGAGGTCAATATTTTCATCTTCAGCTTGCTAAACAGGAGGAAGGACAAGAAGAGACAGGTGGTCATTGACTGCTGCTAAGGTCTGAGATACCAAAGCTCTTGGTCTCTTTCCCACCAGGGTCTAGTGAGAGGCATTTTGGAACTACTAAGTACAGGCACCTCTTGGAAATACACTGTCCAGGACTGGAATCTCTCTCCATCCTCCCAGTTTTCTTTAGCACACTACCAGAGATACACTGTGAAGACAGACAGACAGACAGACAGACAGACAGACAGACAGAAAAGATGGAGCCCTCCTTTACATACCACACTATCCCGAATCTCAGAAAATTCTCTTTGTATTGCCTGTAGGTTTGCAGTGATCACACAGCTTCCCAAATGGAGGGTCTTGTGCCCAGTTAAAGGAGTCCATAGAAGAAAACCCACAGCAGAGAACAGTCCAAAGGCAAGAGCAACGCCTTTCATCTTACACCTATATCCTGGAGACCAGAAGTGGAAATTCAAAGAGATCAGCCAGGACTATTGATGTCTCTGGTCTAGCCACCAGGAATATGTCAGCACCAGCTATCCACTGGATAGGAACTAACAGCCTTCTCCAGCTGCAAGCAGTGCTATGTGTTCACACAATTTCCTAAGAAAAACTGCTTCAGACAGAAGCCTCCCAGTTCCCTTCAGGATCTAGGTACTGAGTAGTACCACGGGTCATGGCTCCTTTATTGGGTCGTCTTCCCAGCTCCACGGTCATTGCCAGCAGAGAAGGCCTGGAGCAGCAAACACTTGCAGTGAACCAACAGAAGATGACATATCAGAAGAAATGTCAAAACTTGTTGGAGGGAATTGACGTAGACACCCCATCCCCCTTCCAGAAAGTAGCTGCAACTCCTTCTGCAGTCCTCTTAGACTTACAGGGGGAAACAGTGTCACAGAAGCCGTAACCATGCCACCAAAAAATACCTGCGGGAAAAGTGTGTAGATTTTACAAACACCCAGAGGGCAAAAGTGCCTAGTTCTATTTGGCATTTGTCTGAGATCAGAGTGGTTAATGAAGCATATTAGGTTCATTGCAGCTCTGATGCCAAAAAAACAAAATCATCGATTTCATAACAGTCCTTCTGCTGGTGAAAGACAAGAACGGATGGGGCTCCCCTTCACCAGGCTCCGTCCAGAGGCTCCTGGGGCTCCACAGTGCCCCCTGCAGGGGAGCCTCAGTAAGACACAACTATGGCGGATCCAACAATAACAAGCTTTCTCCCCGGCCCTGTATCTTTAGGCCTGAGGCTGAGAGAATCAGCACCACCAGAACAGCAGAAACGCATTTGAAACAGTTTGTGTGTTCTTTGCTCAGTTAAGAAGGAATAGTTATTGAGTTTTAAGATAAAATTAGAATAGCCTAGGATGAAGTGAGGCTCTCCTCCCCCAACTATAAAACGACTAGACGTTGTGGAAAGTCTTACGCCATTCTCTGTCAACTCATTGCAAATGTCTGCTGCTCCAGGCCTTACCTGTTGACAGTAACAGTGACCCTAGGGTGGGGACAGAATATTTTAATGCAGTGTCAAACAAGGTCAAACAATATTAAAATCTTAAATGATAACAGAAGTCGGCGGTATCATGCATGCAGAGCCATTGAAACAGGAGAGCCATGTACCCCTGTACATGCATTTTCATATTTTTAATATGTTTTCTTAAAACTATATGATAAAAATATTATTGTTGGGTGTGTGTTCTTCCCTTAAAAAAAAAAGGTCAGATAAAAATTTGGAAGTCTAAGTGAAATGTTTCAATGCTCCTAGGGAGGCGGCTTAGTCAGTAGGGAGCTTGTCTCATAGGCATGAGGACCTGAGTTTAGCACACACTCCCAACTCATGTGAAAAGCTGGAGCACACCTGTAGTCTCAGGGCTGGAAAGGCACAGACAGGGCAATCCCTGGACTTGATGCCCCTGCCTTACTTAACCACTATGCTCTACTCCCCAGTAAGAGATCCTGTCTCTAAAACAAGATGGATGGCTTCTGAGGAAGGATCCCCTACCCCACAGGTTGACTTCATGCCTTCACATGCACACACACACACACACACACACACACAATCATTTAGCATTATAATAAGCTTATCTAATGTTTCAATATGTTTGACAGCTTTTAGTGGGTTTAGAGGGAAGGTAAAACCATATAAAATCTCTGCTCTGCCAGTTCCTGCCTCAGTCAGTTGACTCAGTTTCCCCCAAGACTGAGGGTGTTGACTAAGTAAAGGTATTTTTTTTCAATGGGAAGTCACAAATAAACCAGAATGAGTTGGACACCCTACATCTATAAATCAACTCATCTCTCTGGGTTTTATTTTCTTAGCTCCAAAATGGTGATTATCACACTCTAAAACTCGTATTTAAATAAAATATGGTATATATACTTAGCACACAGGGAGAGAGTGATTCATTTTATGTTGAGATTGACATTCACTGACATTCAGTGAGTGTGTGATAACCCTACTGTGAAAAAGAAGCCCTGGAAAGAAGCCGTGTCTGCGTACAATGTTAGTCCTATGGAGAGACTGAAACATTTCAGGTCCAGAGGCTATTTATCATGTCCCGGGCTAGTTCTAACCTTCTAGAAGAGCAATTCTCTGCCCATGTCCACATCTGAGCTAACATTTTGTGATTGGTAGACAGAAACCTTTTGGAATCTATTAGCTTAGCAGACCACTAGCTTATACCAACCCTAAACCTAAGAATGTCATCAGAGAGCATCTTGGGCCTACAGAAAGCCTCCTCTCATCTTGCTGTACCTGCCTCTCTGGTGTACCCACCATTGTATTCTAACCTTGCCCTGATCTATAACTTTCTCCTTTTTTTCTGTAAAGCTATACAAATTTCATGAAATGACTTCCGCATTGCAACATGGGATTCGAGGTAACCTACATCCGTGTTCCAGGGTAAACTATCTCTTATTCCTTTAAAGATGAGAGATGTCATTTTTCCTCCAAAAAATTCTGCTGTCACAATGTGGGGTTCCGAGAATGGTACCCTTTTCACCAGAGGGATCACCCCACTGGAAACCAGGCAGCTCCATGGATCCATCAAGATAAGTTCTAAAATCTCTTCCTCCTCGCCTCTTTCTTTGACCTTGCTTCCTCCTCTCCTGTCTCAATTTCCCAGCTGACAGTTTTCCCTGAGCAGCAGTCTTTCCTCTAATGCTCATAAGTGTCTTTAGTATGCAACACTCCTAAAATTTCCTTCAGACTTAAAGCCAAAAATCTCAGATCCTTACAGGAATACTTCATGTTGTTAGATAACCAAATAAAGCTACACCTGTAACCCCTACCCAGAATTCTCAGGGTTTATCCTGAGGTTTATCTTTAAGCATTGTGGGTAAGTTTTCCTGACTGTCATTCAACTGATCAATTCTGCTAAATATGGCTTCTGTGTGTTCCTTTGATTCTGTTTTCTTAGCCAGGAAACCGCTAAATGTTTGAGTACCACTGAAACTTTCTAGACCCTTCCATTCTCTGCTCCTGGGTCATCTATAATAGCATACGGCCTTTTCTGGGGACCATCATTGTAAAGCCTAATATCTCTCTCTCTCTCTCTCTCTCTCTCTCTCTCTCTCTCTCTCTCTCTCTCCCCCCTCTCTCACACACACACATACACACACACACACACACACACACACACACACACACATCATGTACCTGGCCTGGCAGAAATAAAGATATTCTAAAAAGACATATAATGAGAATTTTGCTCCTTGGAAAAACACAGAAATACTATGGGAATGTGTTTTCATTTTAATCCCAGGTGTGGAATATGGGGCTGCTTCAGATTGTCTACTGCAGCTGACTATGATTTGTCTAATGCTCTAGCAGGGGCATAAATTTGCCAACAGCAGATAGTTTCTGCAATTATGTGATGTTTGGAATTCTGAGGACTTCTAAGGGGTTATATAAATGCTAGGGCCCCAGAAGTGGAGCAGATGTTGTTAGGGGTTGTTGGTTGGTTGCTGTTGTTTGTAGTTTGTTAAGTAATTATGCTCAAAGAAGAAACAGGAAGAAATTAGATATCTAGATCATGAAGATCAAACTTTCTCCAAGGAACTTGATGCCCCTGGTCAGCAGGAAGTAGTCTAACAATAATGTTGCCCCCTTTCCCCTCTATTTTTTAAACCTACTTTCTTCGTTCTGTGAAGCTATAAAACTTTATGAAACTGTTTCCATGTTGGAACATGGAAGTTAGGGTAAGTAACCATGATTACTCAAAAATGGCTCCAGAATAAGTTCTCTCTCTCTCTCTCTCTCTCTCTCTCTCTCTTATTTTTTTTTAAATGAGAGCTGTAATTTTTGTATCAACACAATCATAAATTCAACAACCAGACTAGCATTTGTTGGACACCCACTGACCTAAATGCTGTGCTACTGTTACCAGCTGGATACAAAACTACCTGTTTCTCCAAGAGACTTTGTCCTGGAAAGGGATTAGGGGAGGCATGATTGATCCTCAATATATCTGGGTAAATTATTGTGTGGATTGGGCTTATCCCCAGGATCATCTGAGAAAGTCTCTTACCTGAGTTCACGAAGCGCTGCTTCTTCTGGTCTCCTAGGAGTCTGTCTCAAGCCGAGAAGCTCTCAGTTACTTATATGTATGCCACATGAAGGAAATGAGCTGTTGGAGGTGAGGACTGGAAAGCCCTTGGAGTCTCTCTAGTGATGTCTCCATTTCCTCAAGTCCCAAAGTGCTTCTCTGCATCCTGGCTCATCCCAACATCTTCCTGAACAAGCACTGCCTGAGGGATGACTGGATGTCAAACCAAAATTATTGAACTAGAATGGAATTCCCTGGGAGCACCCCTACTCTCTCTCACCTAAACTCAGTTTCCCCGCTTTCTCCCTCCTTTTGGTGACACTATAAGATGACTCCAGGAGTGACTTGGATGGGTTACAATCTAGTAAAGGAAAACCAAGAGTCACTAGGATTCCCAGAATTCAGAACACATCTTTTGTTTTAAATGGAGTTTCTAATTCCTAGAAATTTTGAAGGATTATAGCTTGGAGAGGGAAACAGCATTTCCTTAGCAAATGTTGTTAATTCTGTTACAATTCTTGATTCACAGCTGGGAGAGGCTTCAACCAGTCCCCAGGGTGAGGGGCTCCTTTGGTTTTTATATCCATAATTATCCCTGCCTTTCTATCCTGACTCACACTTCATGGTACATCAAGCCAGCTTGAGAAAATGGAGTTTCAAAACTAGCTGTGAACATCTAACCAGAGGATAATACGAGGGAGAATCCCCTCTTATGAAACAAATCCAAGTTCCAAAGCAAGCCATTTTAGATAGGGGAAAGGAAAAATTTGTGTAGACACCAAGAAAGAAACCTAATGACTCCTCTTCCCATACTGGGTCCTGAGTTAGCTGCTCAGGGTTTTCCTGGTCCATGGTGTCACAGTTGCTAACATCAGGGTTTCCTGCCCAGT